TTGTATACCTAATCCTGAATTGTACCCATCTTTAAAATTAAGAAAAAAAATTTTTTAAAGATAAGTGGTGTCGATTTATCTCTTTCTAGTTGAACTGCTGTAACTTAATGGATGCTATATTTGCTCCTGTTGAATTTGATAGAACTATTCCTTAGACAGTATTTCCAGAACATAGATAGTTTTCACTTAGGATGATGACCTCTAGCTGCATCCATGCTGCTGCAAAGGACATAATTTTGTTCTCTTTCATGGCTGTCCATGAGGTATAGGTACCACATTTTCTTTATCCAGTTCACCTACATGGGCACCTAGGTTGGGTCCATGTTTTTGCTATTATGGTTAGTGTTACAATAAACATGCAAGTGCAGGCGTCTTTCTGGTCGAATGATTTGTGTTCCTTCAGGTAGATACCCAGTAGTGGAATTGCTGAGTTGAATGGCAAATCTATTTTTAGTCCTTTGAGAAATCTCCAAACTGCTTTCCACAGAAGTTGAACTAACTTGCATTCCCACCAACAGTGTAGGAGCGTTCCCTTTCCTCAGCACCCTCGCCAACATCTGCTGTTTTTTGTCGGGCTCAAAAGGAGCCCAAACCTCACCATCATACATCATACATACATCATACCTCTTTCACACATTCTCCTTGATTCTAAAAAAGAAAAGCAAATAAAACAAAAAAGCAAACAATTACAAAAGAATATAGAAAGTTTTATATAAGACAGACTTCTTATGAATATGTTACTTACACCTCATTGAACTCTGTAGAATTAGATAGTAAAAACATTGTGTTTTGACTGAAGAAAGATACTCTCTTACCTAGAACATCATTGAAAGTGGAGACTTTTAAAACAAAAAGGACCATTTCCATATGTTATAAGCTATTGCTAGAAATCTGTAAAAGTAACCTAATAGTTGCCTCAATACTTGTATTTTTTAATTGACAACTAAAATTGTCAATTGTATGCATTTTTTGTTGATATATGAGTATGGATACATTGTGGAATGTGAAATATGTATTCAGAATCTTCATCCTTTTTTAAATCATACTATTCCACTGATGCATTACCTCATACCTCACTGATGCATTTATCGTATTTTCGTGGTGTGAACACTTGAAATAGACTCTCTGATTTCAAATATACAATATATTGTTATTAACTATAGTCACTACTATGTAAATAGATCTCTTGAACTTATCCTTCATATCTAACCGAAATTTTGTATCTTTGACTAACATCTCCCTAATTCCCCAAGCCCAGCCTCTGGTAACCACTACACACTTTAAATGAGATCATGTGGTATTTGCTTTTTGTGCCTGGTTTATTTCACTTAACATAATTGCAGGTTCATCCACGTTGTCATGAATGACAGAATGTTCATGTTTTTAAGGGTGAATAGTATCCTACTGTGTATATATACCACATTTTACTTATCCATTCATCTATTAATGAACATGGGTTGATTCTCCATCTGGGTTACTGTGAATATTGGTGCAATGACCATGGGAGTGCAGGTAATCTCTTTGACATAATGATTTCAGTTCCTTTGGATATAAAATCAGAAGTAGGCTTGTTGGCTCACATGGTAATTCCATTTTTAATTTTTTTGAGGAAACTCCATATTGTTGTTGTTCCTAATGGCTGCCTTAATTTATATTAACATCAACAGTATACAAGGGTTTCCCTTTTCCATATTCTTACCAACACTTGTTATCTTTTATCTGTTTGACAACAGCTATTTAACAGGCGTGAGATGATATCTCATTGCTGTTTTAGTTTTCATTTCCCTGATAATTAGTGATGTTTTTCATATACCTCTTGGCCATTTATGTGTCTTCTTTTGAGAAATATGTATTCAGAATCTTCATCCTTTTTTAATTGGGTTGCATGTATTCTTATTATTGAATTATTTGAGTTTCTCATATATTTTAAACATAACCTCTTATCATAGCTATAGTTTGCAAATATTTTCTCCCATTTTGTACATTTTCTCTTCACTCTGTTCATTGTTTCCTTTGCTATGCAGAAGTTTTTTAGATTCATGCAATCTCATCTGTCTTTTTTTGCTTTTTGTTGCCTGTGATTTGGGTCATATGAAGAAATTATTGCCCAGCCCAATGCCATAGATCGTTTTTGTTTGTTTTTTTTTTCTAGTAGTTTTATAGTTTCAGGTCTTATATTTAAGTCTTTAATCCAATTTGAATTGATTTTTTAATATGGTGTGAGATTCCATTCTTCTGCATGTGGATATCCAGTTTTCCCAGCTCCATTTGTTGAAGAGGTGGTCCTTTCTCTATTGTGAGTTTGTGGCATCTTTGTTGAAAACCAAATGACTGTAAATGCGTAGAATTGTTTCCAGGCTTTTTATGTTTATATATCTGCTTTTATGCCAGTACTATGCATTTTTGATTACTATAGCTTTGCAGTAGATTTTAAAATCAGGTTGTGTGATGCTGCTTTGTTCTTTTTGCTCAAGATTATTTTGACTCTTCAAGGTCTTTTGTCGTTTCATATGAATTATTTTTTCTACTTTTGTGAACAATGCATTAGAATTTTGATAAGGACTGTATTGCATCTACAGATTTCTTTGGGTAGGAAAAAACATGTTAACAATATTAATTCTTCCAATATATCTCTCAATTTAATTGTGTCTTCTTCAATTTCTTTTATCATTTATAGTTTATAACTAAACCATATATATGCATCTGTGTGTATACATAAACATAGTTTTTAGTGTACATGTCTTTAATCTCCTTAGTTAAATGTATCTCTAGGTATATATTATAGCGATTGTAGATTGGATTGCTTTCTTTATTCCTTTTTCAATTGTTTGCTGTAGTTTATAAAAATGCTATTCATTTTTGTATGTTGATTTTGTATCCTGCAATTTTATTGAATATGTTTATTAGTTACAACAGTTTTGTTTGTTTTTTTTTTTGGTGGAGTCTTTAGCATATTCCATATGTAGTATCATGTAATCTGCAAACAGACAATTTAACTTTTTCCTTTCTGATTTGGATGCCTTTTATTGCTTTCTCTTGCCTAATTGCTCTGACTAGGATTTTCAGTACTACACAGGATAGAATTGAAGAGAATGGGCATCCTTGCCTTTCTCCTGATCTCAGAGAAAGAGCTTTCAATTGTTTAATATTGACTATGATGTTAGCTATGGACTTGTCGTGTATGGTGTTTATTGTGTTAAAGTACCTTCCTTCTACACCTAAGTTGTTGAACATGCTTATCATCAAAGAAAGTTGTATTTTATTGACTATCATTTCTGCATCTATTGAGATTATCATGTGGTTTTTGTCTGTTATGTGATTTTTCACAATTATTAATTTTTCATGTGTTGAACCATCCTTACATCCCAAGGATAAATTCCACTTGATTATGAAAGATGATCCTTTTAATGTGCTATTAAGTTTTTGGTTTGCTAGTATGTTGTTAAGGAACTTTTAGCAGTTCTTGAAACAGATTAACTACCACAGCTTTATCTTTATCTCTTCTTTATTTCTGAAGGTCAACTTTGTCATGTCTAATATTCTTGGTTGGCAGGCTTATTTTCTTTAGCACTTTGAATATATCTTCCCACTGTCTCCTGACCTGTAAGGTACCTGCTGAGAAATCTACTTTTAGCCTTATTGTTGCTCTTTTTATATGTGATTTGTTTCTTTTCTCTTGTTGCTTTCATGATCCTCCCTTTGTGAGTTTTGACAGTTTGATTATAATATGTTTTGGTAGAGTCTTATTTGGACTGAATCTAATTGCAGACTTTTAAGCTTCCTGTGTCTCGGTATTTAAATCTTTCTTTATATTTGGAAAGTTTTCTGTTATTATTTCTTTAAAGAAGCATTCTATGCCTTTGCCACTTTCTTCTTAAAATCCAGTAACTCATTTGCTGTTTTGATGCTGACCCACAAATATAAAATGCTTTCTTCATTCCTTTTCATCCTTCTTTCTTTTTTCTACTATGACTACAGAGTTTTCAAATAACCCATCTCTGAGTTCACAGATTCTTTCCTTTGCCTGACCTATCCTGCTATTGACGGTCTAATTGCATTTTTCCTCTCATTCATTGTATTTTTCAGCTCCAGAATTTATGTTTGATTTTCTTAAAATATATAATGTCAATGCCTCCGTTAGATTTTTTTGTTTTGGTCATTTATTGTTTTTCAGATTTTTTAATTTTTATTTTATTTTTTAATTTATTCTATTTTTTTAAGGGTTTGGCAAAGATTTATTTTTTTCCATTTCCAGTCTTTTAAAGTTAATACAGATTTGCTTGGAACAAAGCTGATTTCAAGTGCACACAAAAGTTGGGCACAAAGGATAGGATTAAATTCAGCAATCTAAAGGGATAAAGAATAAAAGATAATGAGGAGGTGCCTCAAGGAGAAAACTGAGTATAAAGGTTGAAAAAGTCCTTCCACTGCAAAATCAAGAGCAGTTTATTGTATGAATCTTACAGTGGCAGCCACAGCTATACCTTGGCTTCTATTTACTACTTATTAAGGACAGTTAGCACAATTACATAGTCTTTAGTAGACAACCTACATCCATTTCAATTAAACAGTACTTTCTACAATAGTGTGCATAAGGCCACAATATTTTGGACAAACCCCTTAAGGTAGTGATTTTAATATCAACATTATTCATTCTTTTGAAATATAAAGTGTTTTAACTGAATTAAGGTTACAGTTAATTTTTAAGATACTTCATACATATGACTAGTATCTTAAAATTTATACTTAGATGTTTATATCTAATATTCAGAGAAATTATTGCAGCCTGATAAGCTTATTAATTGATCACACAGGTATAATTACAGGCCAGCATGATTTTAGTGCCTATTCTTTTATTTCACTAAATTAGGAATGCGGCATTTACAGAGCAAGTGAACACCAGTGATGCAGCCACCCAAGGACCCTAACTGCTCTTTAGCTAGCTATGGTGCAAGCTCAGATAGAATCCCACTCTATGAACAAAGTCGGATTCCAATTCTTCATCCAAAAGTGCTGGTGGAGGTTATCAGGCACCTTCCAATATAGATCCCCAATCCAATGGCCAGCAGATGAGACAGCAGCAGGGATGGAAGAAATACTTTTAGAAATTCTGCTGAGAATATGCCTCCTTTCTTCATAACATTTGTGTTTCTCATGCTGAGAGTAACTGTGCACTTTGGGTGTTTAAAGAAGAACTCTTTGGGGGGAATGTTTTCTGGCCAATTTGACCAATCCCAGATCCAATCTGAGTTTTTCTTCAAGATGCTTTCAGTTTCTTTCCATCTCTCAATGTAATCTTCTTCGGACTGGGAACTGTTTTTCTCTCCAATGCTATGGGTGTCTGTTTCAGAAGCTCTATTTGTATCCTGTGGTGTCTGTGAGCAAGATGAGCTGTCACAGTGAGAATTCTTGGACCTACTCAGTCCAGACTCATGCTGGGCATCCAGCAGTACTTTTTCCATGTCACCATTATAAATAGAATCTGAGGTTGGAACACTGCTCCGGTTCTCATTATTGTTTAAATGCAATTCTACCCAGAAGCCCTGCAGGTTCTCCTCCTGCATCCTGGGTGCCCCACTCTGCGACATGGTACTGGAGGGCGGTTGCGGCAGCAGGATCTGCACCAGGCTGCAGGCTGTGCCTTGGCGGTGGACAATCGAGACCAGGAGCAGTCAACGGCAAGCCATGGTGGGAAAAAAGCCTTCTGATTTTTTTAACTGAATTATTTCTTTTTATTTTATTGAAGTTTGCCAATCTCTTGTAAAAGAATTATTCTGAATTATTTGTCCAGTAGTTTGTATGTCCCAATTTTTTTGGAGTCAGCATCTGGGAGATTATTTTGCTCTTTTGGTGATGTTTTATCTCTTTAATTTTTCACATTTCTTGTTGCCTCGCATTGGTGTTTCCAAATTTAATAGAGCAGTCACCTCTTTCAGACTTTACAGGTTATTTTTGCTGCGGAAAGTCTTTCCTCTATGGAGAGATGCAAGGGTGCTTACTGGGTGGGGTGCAGTGGTTTTGGAAGATGCCAACTGTGTGGTCTCTGTGTAACTTTGTTAGCCAAGGTTGATGGTGATAAAGATTAGAGAAAACCTCAGGTATAACGCTATTGTGCCCACAGTGGTAGCAATGATTGTTGGCATATTTGGTGGCAATGCCTGCTAAGGTCCTCCTGACTTTTTTTTCTTCCACTGGGGAAACTATGGCTGAGGGAATCCCTTCTGGCAGTAGGTCTTGTTTGTGAGCTCATTTGCACTGGTGGTGGCACCAGTGTCTGACGTGTGGTACCCCAGGGGTGGCCGTGAAGCGATAGCTTGAAACGTGGGCATTGGAGAGAGGCTATTGCTCTGGAATCCAAAGAAGTAATGGTATTGATGTTCAGGGCACAGGCACTTCTACTGTCATGTTGGTAACAGCCTGTGAGGTTCAGATGTTTGTGAAGCATCTGGAAGATAGAGAATGGAAACAAAGAAATGTATAGAGTTAAAGCAGCTCCAAGGTAAGAGCAGGGTCTAGATACTTATGGTAGCTGAACCCGTGCCTGGAGCACAGGCATGCATAGCAAGGGCTTGGCTCCCAGGTCCAAAGTGAGAACTAGCTCACTATGTTGGTGGCTTCAGTTTCTCAGATGTGGGCAAGCCCAATACAGCCATGGATCCTGAGTCTGAGTGTGAGTACTCTTGGAGCAGACACAGCTCCAGGATCTGGGCATCTGTGGGAGTGAGAGAGAGAGTGGCTACCTTTTCAAAAGCAACTCTGTAGCAGCCCAGTCACTTCTTGTGAGAGAAAGGAGTTGCAGTGGGAATGTCTTATTTGTTAACTCAGTGGCAAGAGATGCCAGTGTCCTCTGGATAGCAGGTCACTGGGACCATCTTGATCCCCACCATTTGATCAATAGCCTCTACATTTCTTCTTTGTTCCTTGGCATCTCACGTATGCCCATCTCACCAGCAATCCTTTCTGTGTGGATATTCTCCATTTTTTTCCACTCCACTGTGTTGCTGCTATTATTTAATGGGCTGTTGAACCCTCACTGGGTTTTTGTGAGGAGGTGAAGGCTGGTATTTACTACTCTACCATCTTGATGGCATCACTCACCTCAATAACTTTTTATTGGCTTTAAAGATACATACACACAAATTCACACACACACACACACACACACACACACACACACACAGATACACCTAAATAACAATAACAGCATCTTGCTAAATTTGTAAACTTTTATGAGTTTCACCCTACCCAACTTCATAGATCACCCTTAAAGAAGTTGACATTTTGCAACTATTTGTTTCTCGTTTTGTAGCCTCTTTTAAAAACTTTTTTATTTTGTTTAGGATGGTCTTTGCAGTTTTTACCTTTCTAAACTTTATGCAGTCAAAATAAAAATTCTCCTTGTATGGCAAAAGAAAAAAAATATTGGTATTCACTATGTGTGTCTAGTTAATTTCATCACACAGTTTTTCAGGATACAGAGCTTAACGTTTTGCCAGAAATAGACATTTGCTAATTTATTTTTAAAACTTTGTTCACTAAATACTTCAGTAAATATAAACATTAAATCTACAAAAATATTTAAAAGAATGTAAGGAGACTGGCGGAGGAGAGAACAAGAAAAAAGTCATGGAAGCATGAATCAGTCACACATATTTGGTTGAGGTAATATTAAAGCATAAAGTATGAGGATAAAAGAGGGGACTGGTGAGGTTAGCACAGCACAAGGCATTGTAGGTCACACTAATTGAATTTTATTCTCTATATTATTTGGTTCTATTTTAGGGACTGGAGAAAACAAGTGTCTCAGAAAGATCATTCTGTCTAGAGAGAGGAGACTAAGTGGGAGGGGTGGGTCTGGAGGATGGGAGACCAATTAGGAATGTGTTGAAGTAACCCAGATGAGAGAAGATTGTCTTTAATTAGGGCACAAAAGGAGAGATAAGTACAGAGGAAGGAGTAGATTCTAGAAACATTTAGCAAGTCTAGAAGGAGAGGCATATTCCAGAAAAACTTAGCAAGTACAGAATAAAAGACATGTTTTAGAAACATTTAATAGGCAAAATCAATGGAAATTAGTGAGGAGTCAAGAAATAGCTTTTCATACAAGTAATTCAACACATGAAGGTGCCACCAAGATGGGGAGCTGATCAGAATGAACAGCAGATTTTCAGCAGAACAGAGGGAAATGGATGAGTTATGTTTTGAATATGTTTGACACTACAAGATTTATTTGGGGCACCTCCAGCTCACCTTGCATACCTTTGAATTCTGCTTAGGCTCCACTTGGAATTTTGTGTCCTTGGAATCTCAGCTTGGAATTTTCTGTGCTAAATTGACCGACTACTTTATGTCTCCTGTTTGTGACCTGGGTCTGGCTTCTTAACTCTGTATCTCAATTTACTGGTTATAGGGAATTTATTTGGTGGCTACTGTTTGTATGTCTTTGCCCCGGATCAGTGATTTGTGGCAATGATGTCTTCCTTGCTTGTTCTTTTTGAGCCCCAGGGTCAATCCTTACCTACATAGATCGGGAAGAACCACTCTTAAGGGGGTTGCCCAAATAGTTCTGTACTGTCCTCTTTGTAAAGGAATTTGAGAAGGAAAATTATCTATCTGGCTGGTGTACAGGCATACTTGTGGGCTTCCCTGACTGTTCATATGACAATTAAGCCATTACCTTTTCAACAGGCATTGTCTAAGTGCCCACTCTATGCCAGTAACGGGAGATTCAGCTGTGGGTGAGATAAGCATAGCCCCTACTCTCCATTATTTTGTAGGTTACTAGGAATAAAAGACAAACAAGAATACTTGGAAGAATAAATCCTCCTTCCCTTTCTCTGCCTTTGGGGGATTTGCTCTGGAAAGAGTATGATAGATCTTATACCCAAAGTCATTCGTATATATAGATTCAAAGAGGTGGGTACTCTGCCTAAGAATTTGCTCTGTCCCAAGGTTTAAAAAATACCACAGAACTTTAGTTTTAAGTTTTCTGTTTCTCCTTAGTGTTTCTGTAGTTAAAGGCAGTCAGATGGGGTAGGAGGCACCACGGCTAGGTGGAACTTTGTAGTGGACTAGTAGGCCCCTGGGAGTAGGAGGTGAACATCTGTTACTGCTTCTCAGAATGTTCTCTTCAAGTGGATACAGTAGGCACTGGGGACGTTCCAGGTCATGTTGTGTTTCTCTTTCTGGGACTACTCTCTCAAAATTACTAAGTGTAAGAGTATGTGATTATGTCTAGCTGGTGTCAGTATGTGTGTAGTCTCTCTGGAGATACCCACTGAAGTTCAGGATATTTCAGGGAACATGGGAAGGTATCTCTTCCATTAGAGGTGGTGAAAGGCGCTCTACTGAAGCACACATTCCCCAACTCCACGCCTCTCCATCCCTGATTTCCATGGGTTGTCCCAGATGAATAACCCAGACCATGAGACACATATTGGTGAAGACTATTTTGTCTGTGGATTGCCCTTTGGATTAGGAAAAAGATAAAGTCCCCTTTCCAAGCTGAGCTTAACTGAATAATTCAGGAAAGAAAAAATACCATCACATCAAGCTTCTTCTGGTTATCTATCAGCATCCCCTGAGAGTCAGATCAAAGACAAAACAGTACTTCTCTGTCCTCCTGAAACTCAGGGCAAGCCACTTTCTGCTCCTAGTGACATTCTCTTGGTGACAATTTTCTATTCAAGGGATATCCTTACCCTGAATAATAATCCCCTCCAAAATTCTAAGTTTAAGGAAAAACAAGGAAGGAGGTAAGAAAGAGAAAATTGGTTACAGTCAAAGAGAAAGGTGATAGGAGACTTATTTTATTTTATTGAGTTGGAGTCTCACTCTGTCACCCAGGCTGGAGTGCAGTGGCATGCCCACAGCCACTGCAACCTCGACCTGCTGGGCTCAGGTGATCCTTGAGCCTCAGCCTTCCAAGTAGCTGGAACTACAGGTACGAGCTACCACACCTCGCTTATTTTTTGATTTATTATAGAGACGAGGTCTCACCAAGTTGCCTGGGCTGGTCTCAAATCCCTGAACTCAGGTAATCCTTTCGCCTCAGCCTCCCACAGTGCTGGGATTACAGGCTTGAGCCACCGTGCTCAAATTTCTGATGCAGAAACATGTGGACTTTGGAGGCCATGCTGATCTGGCATAAGACACTAATGGGAACGTCTGCTTGGAAGTCTGCTGCCTCCTCTGGAAGCCAGGGTAGGGTTGTGCTGCCTTGAGAGTGTACCAGGATATGAGACAGAGCATCTGCCCTAGAAGGTAGTGGGGTCAGGCGTGGATCCTGGGCAAGCTATTTAGCCTCTGTTTCCTCATTTGTAAAATAATAAAAGTACTTACCTCATAGAATTATTATGAAAGCCAACTGAATGAGTTAATGTTTATAAAGTGTTTAGAACCAACAATGCTTGGCATATAGAGTGCTGAGAGAGTGTTTGTCCAAAAGTAGACCCATTCAATGGGCTGAAGTCACTCCCATACAAAGCCACATGCTATGGTAGAGGGCAGCTAAGTCGGATGTCCAGAACACCTAGATCTGACTGTGGCCAGCATTATCTGATGCAGTGGGTTATAAGGCAATGCAAGATGATGAGGAGGGAGGAATATGCCAGAATAAAGGTCATACATAGGTCCATACACAGAGGATCCTTTGCACACACTCGCTAAAGCGTGTGATG